TGACAAATATTTCGTTCAGTTGTAATGGAAAAGGTTTCCCTATATGTCCTCTAACATTTGGTAACATTTTCAAATTCATCGAAAAAACAAAATGGCCGTCATGATGTCTATCCGAATTTTTTTTTAATTGCAATACATCATTAACGGGTGAATATGTTTAATTTATCTTTGGATATGTTTTGTAAAATAGCAAATGAATGTTTTTTGTCAGAATTTTTTTTTCTGTCAAACATCAACTTCCGGTTTTCGTCAGGGGTGAAATTTCGAATGTGTAATTTTGTGAAACAAACTTCAGATAACTTCTTCTCAATAACAAAGTCACCCAAGGTCATGATATTTGGTGAATATTATGCTCAAGCAATGGACTATCAAGTTTGATAATATAAATAACTTTGACCCATGTTCAATGTCACTGGGGTCAATTGTGTTAAAATCTTCAAAAGATTCCTTCTCAATAACGGAAATGCACAGGGCATTAATATTTGGTCTGTAGCATGCTAAGATGATGAGCTACAAGGTTTAAGGATAAATTACCATCAAAGATCAAGTTCCGGTATTTGATAGAGGTAAAATTCGAACATGTAATTTTGTGAAACAAATTCCAAAGATACCAGAACTATTTGCGAGTTTCTTCCCTTCCACCAGTAGTTAAAGTCCGGGAAGAAAATCATTCACCTACAAAAATATAACCCAAAGCAAAAGTCTAACACCTTTTTTGTTCTGCTATTTTGGAGTACTGCTAAAGTTTCTGAGCTTGATTTATCCTTTAATCAATTTTAAACATTACAAAATTTAAAAGTCTTTACCTCAATGGTGTGATATAGGTGAAAAGCCCGTCAAATTGTAAGCCAACAATTTCTAGTTTCTATTTATAAGTGTTAACGTTGTCTCCTTGATTGTTTTAGATGAAACAGCTGACAACTGTGAGAAATTTATGAACAGTGGTGGCATGCACTTGTTCAAGGATTGTTTACAGGTGAGAATATAGACTGAGAGCGTTCAAGGAATGTTTACAGGTGAGAATATGGAGTCAGAGTGTTCAAGGATTGTTTACAGGTGAGAATATAGAGTCAAAGCGTTCAATGATTGTTTACAGGTGCGCATATAGACTGAGAGCGTTCAAGGACTGTTTACAGGTGAGAAAATAGAGTGAGAACGTTCACGGATTGTTTACAGGTGCGCATATAGACTGAGAGCGTTCAAGGACTGTTTACAGGTGAGAACATAGAGTCAGAGCGTTCAAGGATTGTTTACATGTGAGAATATGGAGTCAGAGTGTTCAAGGATTGTTTACAGCTGAGAATATCGAGTGAGAACGTTCACGGATTGTTTACAGGTGCGCATATAGACTGAGAGCGTTCAAGGATTGTTTACACGTGAGAATATAGAGTGAGAGCGTTCAAGGAATGTTTACAGGGGAGAATATGGAGTCAGAGTGTTCAAGGATTGATTACAGCTGAGAATATCGAGTGAGAACGTTCAAGGTTTGTTTACAGGTGAGTATATAGACTGAGAGCGTTCAAGGATTGTTTTCAGCTGAGAATATAGAGTCGGAGTGTTCAAGGATTGTTTCCAGCTGAGAATATAGCGTCAGAGCGTTCAAGGATTGTTTACAGGAGAGAATATAGAGTGAGAACGCTCAAGGATTGTTTACATGTGAGAATATGGAGTCAGAGTGTTCAAGGATTGATTACAGCTGAGAATATCGAGTGAGAACGTTCAAGGATTGTTTACAGGTGAGAATATAGAGTCAGAGCGTTCAAGGATTGTTTACACGTGAGAATATAGAGTCAGAGCCCGGTGTTCATGTCAGTATGATGTACGGGTAACCTCAACATTTCTAGTTTTCACTTGGAATTCAATATAATTGCTGATTTTGTGACTGTAAAATTTGTGAATTCAAGTACAGTACCTCAAAAATTTAAGACACACATGTTGATAAATTAATTAAGCATTGTTTAAAAATTAAAATCTAAATTACAGTTCATTTATAACTCCCAACCCTTGATCTACTTTCAAGGCCACATGCCTCAATTACATTACCAGGAGGCTCTTGGTGATGATATTGACCAGTGGCATGCTGGGATAGAGTAGTATAAAGCTTCGTTTAGTTCGGAACATTCTTAAGCCAAGGAGACTCCATACAGTAAAGGGAAATTATTGCAAAATGATTGCTCAAATATCCAGGTTAGTAATACAAGGCACCCTGGACCTCTTGTTATTCTCTGGTGATTCAGGATATTAAAACGTTGCAAATAAACAAGTTTGAATATGTCTTCACTGACCAAGATTTGTTATGACAAGGAAGATTTATGTTAAGTATTTAAAATTCAACTTTTATAGAAATACATTATTGTACATGNTTGAAGGTTTTAATGGTTATGTACAAGAATATATAACTTTCTTTACTATTCAAGCTTAAACAAGGTTTTATTTAAATTGTACAAGGTTATAATTTAATGTACAAGGTTATAAATATTCATCATTATTGTATAACGCTGATTTAATTATTTTCCTTTTACAGAGATTCGTGGGTAAACCGGAACTGCTTAGGAACATGATGGGTCTGATAGTAAATATATAACTACTTACTGATATACCAAGTATAAAGTTTTCTGTGAGACAGCCCTGTCAGATCGTAAAGTCTAAAATTTCTGTTCTAAACTCATGACTTGCTTCGAATATGAAATGCAAAATTCCTCCTAACTATGAGTTTTGACATAGTTACAGCTGCAATCAGAAAATGACAGAGCAGTGTTAAGTAGCCATGTATGTATAAGAATTCTAATGTAGGACATCCTCGATATCCAGGGGTTACGCTCACTTTCACTCTCTGCACCCCTGGCATATGTCATAGCAAAATTGAAGGCACGATGATAGCTGTTTGATTGGTCTCAGGTAAATAAAAACTGACCAATCGCTAGGCTGAGACCTGTCCTTTGAATATTACAAAGGAGAGATGCCCGACTTCAAAGTCTGTAAATTTTGTTACCGTTACGTGATTGCGAGATTCTTTTGATGTACATGAAAGGATCGAAAGGATCGAACTAGTCTTCTTGTCTCATCAACAAGGTGGCGCACACTGACTTTCACTTTTGCTATGACATATTCCAGGGTTGCAGAGAGCGAAAGTGAGCGTTGCCGTTACCCCCAGAGTATCGAGGATGATACAGGCTACGGTATAATTGTTTTCCACACTACACTCCATAACCAAGGTCCTAAAAAAGAAGCAAAGAAGGAAGAAAAAGAATGGGTCGAAGTAGCAACAGCAAGAAGGAAGAGGTGATAAACACACACACATACAAATCTATACAATATATCGAAAATACCACTTCACTGCAGGTAGTTAGCATAATGCCAAGCCTGCACTGGTATGGTTTTATACTTATACTCTTACCTGCAATATGAGATTGTGGTCACTGAAGCAATAATGATGCAAACATTTATCAATTCTGTTTGAATAATGATATTTTTTGCAGCTTATCAGGACCACAGTTAAATTATTTCATTGTGTACTTTATAAAGAATTACTACAATACTAATTATGTTAACGTTGTACATTCTAGATAAAACGACGCAAGTACAAAATAGTACAATGTGTACAAGAATATTAATTGTACGTACTACAACATACGGTATTGTACTAGGAAGAAGAAATAATACAGGTACACGATCAATTGTCTTTTACTGTGGACCTTATACGACACCGTATGATATGCAATACAATTGATTTACACTAAATTTGAATAAATATCTAAATCCTACAGAACCTTACTCTAGAATATACATATCAGTCTGACTAGAATACTGCATAACAGTAACTTAGAACAGCTATCAAAATACAGCCTAGGAAAACAGAAATTGCCACACCAGCCCGAATAAAACATAAAACGGAAAAATATCCCTCCTCACCCAGAATACATGTAAAATACAGCCTGACGAAACAGCCATTCCGAACCCCTCTGTAATATATTAGTAGCCCGAAAACAAAGACAAATAACGTCACCCTCGTCTCCATAAACCATACCCTGACAGTAACAAAAATAGTCCTCTTCACGGCTAAAATATGCTTGTTTTCTGAAACAACACGAATAGCGCCACCCTCAGCCCGACAAAACTTAGTCTAACAGTATCAACATTTTCTTGTTGTCTAAAACAACACAAATAGCGCCACCCTCAGCACATCCTCGATATCCAGGGGTTTCGCTCACTTTCGCTCTCTACACCTCTGGAATATGTCATAGCAAAATTGAAGGCACGAAGATAGCTGTTTGATTGGTCTCAGGTAAAAAGAACTGACCATTCGCTAGGCTGATACCTGTCCTTTGAAGATTACATAGGAGAGACGCCCGACTTCAAAGCCTGTCAATTTTTACCGTAAAGTGACCGTGAGATTCTTTTGAGAACTAGTTTTCTTGTCTCGTCCACAAGGTGCTGCACATTGAGCATTCAATTTTACTATGACATATTCCAGCGGTGCAGAGAGCGAAAGTGAGCGTAACCCCTGGATATAGAGGATGCCCTCAGGTCGACAAAACATTGTCTGAGAGGTACAAAATTAGCCATCCCCAAGCAATCCTCGATCCTCACGGGTTACGCTCGCTTTCGCTCTCTGCACCCCTGGAATATGTCATAGTAGATTCGAAGGCACGCAGCTATCTATGTGCGACATTATGACATAGCACTATTCATAATTATACCGTTACACATTACATTGATGGAAAAATGTTTCAAAAATACGCAAAATAAAACAATACGAAAAAGGAAAATTTAAAATGAAATAAAATACAAAAGGAAATATGAAAATAGAAGATTAAAAGGCTAGCTGAAGTTACGTGAAAGGATGTTTTATAAATATGCGAGTTGACATGGTATAATGAATGATGTTAAATATATATAGATGTTAAAATGAAAAAAAAACCATAAAAATATAATACATTAAGATACAAATGTAAAAGATAAGTTACATGTATTTTAAAATGTTAAATATATGACAGCATTATACAAGATATGTTAAGCTGTATACAGCATACACAATAAACAAAGTAATTGCTTTTTTAACTTTTTTCTTATTTTTCAATAACGGGAAAACGTCCTGAAAGAAAGTCGTCTTATTCGTGAATATGTATACATGGTAGTCTTTATACCATCATTTTAACATGCCCTTCCTAAACAACGGGTTCCAATATTTCACTTAATTGTCATACAACATTTACACTCTTTGCAGTTACATAAAACTACTGTTCTCTTTCAAATTCGTTTTACCAAGATATATATCACGCGATAGATGTATTGTCACGTGGTACAATATTTTCATTGTCGGCGCATTTCTAGACTTTAATGATGACACTTTATAGATCTTGCTGACATATGTAGTCCAGCTTGACGCCACAGTAGTTGTCATTTAATCTGCCTTGGTGATATCCAATATCTACGCATTGCTCGATGGAAGAGCTTGGATCTCCCGGACCCCAGAGGGAGCTGTTTTCAGTTTGATATTGTCCGTTAATCCACTCGAAATTCCTACCATCTACCGTAGTAACGTACTCACGTAGTCCAATCCATCCGTAGAACCCTGTCAAAGTAAAAAATGTGCCCTGATGAATATCACAGAGATAAATCAGGGCCTGTATTCATGAAACTGTTTTCATGCTCAAGCATGAATTTTGTGCTTAAGCCTAATTTTGTGTTTCGTTTATAAATAATTTAAGTGAGCAACAAATAAGAAGGTTTGAGCACCAAATCCATGCTTGAGCATGAGAACGATTTCATGAATACGGGCCCTGGATTCGCGAAGTCTCTGGTGACTTATTAAGTTAAAGTGAATATATGTATCTCGGGGATTTTTTTCCCTACTTTACGGTGGTATGAATTTGATACAAATATTATAATTCAGAAAGACACATATTTAGTTACTTAATATTGAATTTAACTTCCATCGAATATTTAATTGGGTCGCTGAGTCGTAGCTCACTTTGGAATTTGCCGATAAATACTAGTATTTGTTATGCTTTTACCTGGAAAGGTATTCGAGAAGGCATCCATTTTTACCCAGCTGTCCACAACGATGAGATACGCTGTGTCCTTCCTACACAACGACTCAGCCTCGGACCACGTGACTTTGACGTTGTACATTCGGATACACGTGTGGAAGGCTGGATGAAAATCATACCCAGGTACTCTGCAGAAAATGGGTCTTTCTACAACTGAAATCAAAAACTTCACGTGATTATTGCGATGAACGCAAGCTTAACGTTCAGCATTAAAAAAGTATTAGTCTTTGATAGCCTTCTATCAACATATACAAACATTGTGGGATGGCCATTCACAGACTGTGGATACGTTGCGCCACATCAGCTCCAAACACGAACACTAATACTGACTCTCAGACAGTTTTGTTCATCGGCAGGCGAAAAATCACATTCCACTCATTTCATTCAAAAACTGTATATATATACTCTTTTAAAGGAATCGTCCGTAATATCGTATAACGTGCGCGGGGTCACCCATTCATCCTCGAAATTCTAGGAATTACACGCTTTTACGTTCTTTGCACCTCTGGAATATGTCGTGACAAAATCAATGACACGCGGTTGGATGCTGAAGAATTTTACTGGTTTCATGTAATACAAAAACAAATCTACTTTTCCTTTAATGATAACAGATAAGCAACACCATGTTTCAAAAAGGTAAATGTAACTGTAACGATTTCGTCATGAGCTATTCCAGGGGTACAGAGAATGCAAGAGTTGGTTTGGTTTGGTTTTATATTGTCGAACGTCCTACTAACATCTGAGGTCATGTAAGGTTGTGCCTCCTTGTGTTGTGTAGGCGTGCAAGTGTGTATGCATACTGGAGACAGAGTATGTGGGTTTACTTGCCTTCTTGTGATAGCACGGATCTGATGTCGACTTTATAGTGCTATCTCACTGAAATGCCATGACGAAGGCACATAGCATTCAGCCAGGTCACATTTTACTGGCAACGGGTGAACCAGTCGTTGCCATTAACCAAAAAGCAGAGAATAACAATTACCATTTTTAAGGACTTTGGTATGTCCCGGCCAGGGGACAGAACCCGTTGCCTTCCTCATCTGGGCGAAAGTTCAATATTAAAGCCAAAAGTGAGTTATTGCCAAGCAAGGAACTAGGAAATAAAAGGTAGATAGAAGTAGAAAGAAAATTAAAGATCCCAAATACTGCAATGGGAGCAGCAGATTTTATGTTGATCGCTTTTGTGTCCCCTAAGAGAGGGAACAAAAGCAAATTCCCAATTCTGCAGGGGATTCATTCATTAATCGCCTGCTACGATACATGCAGTGCAGTCTCGCTCCCCGACCTGCAAGAGTGCGGAGAATGTAAGAGAGCGTCACACCTGAAATTTCACCAATCCAGTAACTTACACCGCTCGATGTGGAGTCGCATATTATAATAATAATAATTCAAGGTTCATTAATACCGCTTTATCACAACCTCGTTCGTAGGTCGTCTCAAAGCGGTTCACAAATTAAATTATTTCCCCTGGTTATAGGGCCTTTGCAACCAGCCAATATCTCTCTTCCTGGGGAGCATACAGCCGGTGCTGTCATGTCGGCGCTCACAGCTAGCATTCAACAATTATAGAACTGCCCAACCACGTACTCATTTACAGCTGAGTAGACTGGAACAAGCGGAGTAAAGTATCTTGCTCAAAGATACAAAGTTATATATACCGCTACGTTAAAAAATAGTTTACCAGTAAGGCAGTATTTTCTGTGTTATTCCTTGACTTCTCAATCAAATAAGACAGCATTCGACTCATTGCCTTTGACTTTGCCCATATCTTATGAGTTCAACTTACGTGTCCATATCGTGTTATTGTCCGGCTCTTTGAGTTGTTGCTGAATGGGCTCGTACCCTTGACATTCCTGTATGGTTGTGTTATAGCTGACCATGGAACATGGAAATGGGCTTCTTTTACACGCAATAACACAGCTCATGTCAGTGGGTGTCCTTGTCGTAAATGTATGGTTGTAGTCCGAGATTGATCCTGCAGGCCCTGTCCCCTGTATCCACCATGATGCCATAGCTATGTTACCGTACATACCTAAAAAGACACAATACAACGATTTACAGAGTTGTGTTTAACGAATACCGTATTTAACTAAAAACAATTTGTCGTTTTGTTCGCTACTCCCGCGGGATAGGTGTTATAAGTAATTCCTATCTAGCACCAAGTGACGTCTTTAATTCGTGAGTGGATAATAAAATGAGTAGGTAAATACTGAAAACAAATACAAAATCTCCATCAACATCAGAACAAGCTAAAACTAGTTTATTCCTATAAGGTTTAAAAAAAGCATTGTCTGTATATGACGCAATATCTATCAATGTTCAATGCATGATCGGTCGTAATAGGATTTACTTAATCATGGAGTTCGTTTAACACGTTATATTTCTATATCACAATCCAGGATATGCTTATTAACTGAATCTCGTTTTATCTCTGAATGTATTATTCATAACTTAATTGCAGGGAAGACAATATATGAAATATTCTATTAAATGTAAAAGAATGATAGTTGAATGATACGATACCACAAGTATAAGAAGTCTAACGTCACAATACCCAAAACGGGACTGAACCCAAAACGGTACCTAACCCAGAACGGGACCCAAAACGGTAGAGAACCTAAAATGGGACCGAACCCAAAATGGGACCGAACCCAAAACGGGACAGAACCCAAAACGTCACTGTACCCAAAACGGTACAGAACCCAAAATGGTACAGAACCCAAAACGGGACCGAACCCAAAACGTCACTGTACCCAAAACGAGACAGAATACAAAACGGGACACTTGTGGGAAAACGTCTCAAGAAACTGTCATAAAATTGTTTTTATGGTATAAATTACATTGATATTTATCTAAACATTATCCCGTTTTGGGTACGGTGACGTTAATGTCAACAATACTTACCTAATTCCGAAGTCAACAGGACAGCCAAAAGAAATACGCCAAGCTGTTTTATGTTTCCCATATTGGTAGGCCAATCAATGGTGTATGATGTCGTCGGAAGTCGATGTAAAATAACCGTCCAACCATTAACGGACTTCTAGAAAATCACTCGGTGAAAAGCCAGGATAGCACTTGATCTAAATGTTTCAACGTTTGTAGAAGAAGTTTCCTTAATTTGTATGTACGTTCATAACTACATAATCCACAACTACCATATAGTCCTGAATGCGACGATGTTCAATTAAGAGTTTTGATATTTGTGAACCAAGTATCATGCAAAGCTTTCTGAAAAATGCGCATGCGCACTCTTAGTGTTCGTTCTGGGAGTGATAGGATGAAACGCCTGACGACACCTCTTGTATATCAATGTCTATTTTAACTGATGACGACGTGCATGGAATAGTTGTCGATATTCCTCTCTAGCAAATTAAAAATGTAGTGTACTGCCATACAAAGTCTCATAGTGTTACCATTTCATCGATCGCGATCATTTCATTTCGCAATTTTGTTGTATTCTTGTATGTTTGGTAATCAAGGCGACGTCAATTGGGAAAATACATTAATATTTTTACATTAAGTGGATAAGGTTGATATATCATGCTACATACCTGGATGAATATTTAGTTTCATAATAAACCTCGTACTTTATTTTTACCAGATTTTTACTCATTTGGTCCTGTCATCCGATCACTCACTTCGTTGCCTTTGTATTTATATAAATATCTAACAGAAGTCGTGCTGGTGACCGATCTACGTTACAAACAACTTATCAATTCTGTACACCTCCACCAGGGTTCGATAGTCTTCATTATTCTAGTAATTGTTTATAGAAACAATACAAACATATTGATAAAATATTAGCAGTATACCAATCTCGTGTCCTACATTTGGTATATGCTTCATGTTTTTGTGTTACCAAAAAGGTGGAAGGTCTGGGCGACTCGGATATTTGACATTACCGGCACTGTCGCTATTATTTCGGAGCTTTTTATATCTATTTAAATAATACAATCAAAATCGTTACGGCGTCAACAAGCCGTGTTCAAAAAGAACACGCCCACAGACCGAACGGTTGTTTCAGCGTGTCACTCACTGCATCTGGCTCGTCGATTGGTCGATAGAACGTTTGAGGTCGGTGTCGTCACTTGTAAAATTTACATTGCATGTACATGTTTCGAACCATGTGTCATGACTTGAGTGTTTCATTAAATGTATACCTATCCACATTTTCTTGAACTGTAATGGTATTTATGATTACAAGAGGGCAAAATGAAGAATATTACACATGCTGGAAAACTGTCCATACCTGCCGTTGCACTGAAAAATAATACAGAACGGTGCAAGATTCGACAACTCGTTCACTTAAATAACTTACATACCTGTTTAAATATATTTGTAAATTATAAAATAACAATGATGTACACGAAAACGATGACAATTTATTTTATAATAAAAGTAAGTGTACAATCGGCCCAAGAAACTGTCATTCAATGCAAAGAAGTACTTATATTTATACAGTTATATTTGAGAATACTTTTCATGACAATTAAACCGTATACAGCTGTATTGGCTGCTGATTATCGTTACATGAACAATTTAAAGGTAAGAATAATTACCAAAACAAGTCTTTCCTGATTTACGTACCGTGCGTCGCTATGTATTTGGATATCATTTTCAAAAGTCTATTTTATCAAAACTAATGAGAGTTTGGAGAAGAAATTTAATCAGAACCCTCGTTGACTCTTACATATTTCAACTATGCATATTTTTTCTCCGATATTTATCGTTTATTGCAAAATATTCACCAAAATACCGGAAGTGGTTCAACGGCCTACGTAACTCTGATGGTATTTCGCGTTCTTTTTATAGAACCACGCGCCTGAAATATCAAATTGTGATAAAAATGAAAAGTGCATAGCATCTATTTATGAAAAAAAGAACAAACATTTTTAGAACTGATAGTATAGTATTGTATAAAGAACATTGATATTTATCTAAAACGTGTCCCGATTTTGGTACAGTGACGTTAGATAACCTGTGTGCCGATAGTAAATTATGTACCCACGAATGCCAGCTGCAGTGTTACTCTCGATGGAACGTATCCATGGAGATAATTCCCCGGAAACTTATACCTAATTGTTTTCGTTTTTATTAAGTTTTTGTTCAATATTGAATAAATATTGCAATTACAATTGAAACTGTTTAGTTTTTATTAAGATAGGAAATACTTATACCGGCAAATATATGCTGCCGGTATAAAATAAATCATGCAATTTTTGCCTATTCTTACACTTTCGTTTGGTTGTATATGTTGTGAATACATATACGCAATCACAGGGACTTGACAGGTTCCTATGACCCAGCATGAAAGGTATTTTTTTTCATTCTGGGTCATAGGAACGTGTCAAGTCCCTGTGTACGCAATAGCATGTGGATATGCTCAACGAAACAGTGTAATATGGCAATTAATTGATATAGATATATATGTATGTAGCTTGAAACATTTACAAATATATTTAACACGTATACATTTGCATGTAAACGTTACAAAAGTCAAGCGACAGAGTTGTCGAATCTTGCACCGTCCTATGATATTACTTGTTCAGTGCAGCGGCCGGTATGGACAGCTTTCCAGCATTTGTAATATTCTTCATTTTGCCATCTTGTAATCATAAATACCAGTATAGTTCACGAAAATGTGGATAGGTATACATTTAACGAAACATTCAAGTCATGACACATGGTTTGAAACATGTACATGCAATGTAAATTTTATATTTCCATATACATGTATGCGTAATCTTAAGTTGACAATGCGCGCAAACAACAAGTCTCCGAAAAAGATACAATGTTGTACACTGCCTCTGAAATCAAAGACGACACCGACCTCAAACGTTCTATCGACCAATCGACGAGCCAGATGCAGTGATTGACACGCTGAAACAACCGTTCGGTTTGTGGGCGTGTTCTTTTTGAACACGGCTTGTTAACGCCGTAACAATTTTGATTGTATGCATCAAACGAAAAATAATTAGTTTTGATGAACAGCCCATGTTCGCCCAAGCCGTCGGTTTTTATTTTGAGACAAACACATCCCCACATCCACCCCCTCTCTCTCTCTCTCTCTCTCTCTCTCTCTCTCTCTCT